TGGGATGGTGGCAAACCAGGCCCAAAAACTCATAAGCCCTAGTAAAGCATAGATCAGAAAAAAAAGGGAAACAACTAGAAGGTATATTATATATATATATATATATATATACATCATCCACACATGGGGAACAACATGCCACCTTTGGTTTTTCTTCTTCACCAGCCCTGTTTTGAGAAATAATAAAAAAAGACACTACTATTCTTGTCTCCTCGTTCACTAGCCTTGCTTTGAGAAGTGTACAACTAGACAATCTACAGTAGCACGCCATTAAGGAAGAAGTTTAAGTGCAATTTGGCTGTGCTCTTCTTTGGGACTAGTTTTGTTCATTCTTAATTTAACTTTTACAATGGTTCTTTGCTGGATTTTCTTGTTTATAGCTATTTTGAACTTAATTATATGTGGCTAAATTACTTGAATTGGGGTTAGATGGATTTTAATTCTTGGATTATGTGATTGCTTTTTTTTTTTTTTTAGTTTAATTCAAGACCAATTTGATATTAGCATGACGAGTTTATATTATTGAACTTAATGCATTGAAAACCTGATTATCTTTTAATTAATTTAGTGATTTATGCATGAACTTGAAAAACAAGCGTGTAAATTAGACCAATAATAATATAAACCATGTGTTAGTCTATGAGAATGAGAGCTAATTAGCATCACATATGGTAGTGGAGGAAGAGAAGAGAGTAAAGAGCTCCCTCTTCCTAAGCTAGAGGTTTCCATAGAATTTAGTGCTCACTAGTTTGTTTTAAATTATATGGAGATATGCTAATTTAATAAGTAATGAAAGGATTAACTTGACTTAAGAAAGTTAATTAATTGAGGCAAATTCACCATCATGTGATAACATTGTTATTTGAAGTTAAATTAGATTAATTAAACAATTGCGTAATTTAGAATTAAATGAAATCTAAACTCTAGCTCCTTTTCATTCATAATTCCTTTTACTTAAAAAATTCCTTTAGATTAAGTAGCGTAACTTTATTTAATTAATTGACTAATTCAACTTAAACTAGACTAATATCATCTTGGTAGTGTAGAATAGTCTTCGAGTGAATGATATCTTACTCATCTTATATTGCATAATCAATTAGGTTCACTTTCCTAAGAGTAGTGCATATTTGGTGCATCAGAGACTGGGTTTGCATGGGCGTGTTGAGGCCTAAAGTTGATACCGGGCCCGCAAAGATGTGTTGACTGGGAAAATCCCACATATAATAAAGAAACTTGTGGGTTAAATATGATGAGTGTTGGTCCACCTATTGCCAATTGGTTTTTGGTTGGATTAAAACCCATATTCACAATTTTCACAAGCAACCAAGGTTGTCAAAATCGAGATTTTACCTAAGATCAAAAAGGGCTGATGAGATTGCAAATCATAAGATTCCAAATAAGATCATAAGATCCTAACAAATTAAATTTGTGTATTTATATAATTGGCAAAAAGAAAGTACAATTGGAGTTTTGGGGCAATGCAAGGGACAACTCGGTGGGTTGCAGCGGCAACGCAAGCACACAGGCAACAAGGGGTAGTATCAATGGCAATGCAGATAGTATCTACTGCAACACAATGCCAACAGCAACACAACTGGTGGTAATGATGCAGTTTTCGAGGTGGAGATGTTATTACTATATTTTTTGTTGTCGAAGAAGAAGAACAACTAATTTTGAAATTCAAAGGTTAACCGATTGTTTTGATGCTGCAGAGGAGATGAAGAGGTTAGCCAACTTTTTAGTTTCTAAATTTGAAGATTTATATAAAAAATATAGGGTTTTTTTTTATTTTATTGATTAAAAATTCTTAATTACCATTTATAATCTTAGAAGGATTTGGTTTCTAAAATCATGTGAGAACGCATGATCTCACGATCTTGTGTGTGATCTTTGATCAATTTTACAACATCCTCAATTTTTGTCCAATTTAAATCATTGAAGCCACTTAACATTGTAAGATAGCATGATCTTACAATTAAGTTCACAATCTTAACAACCATGCAAGCAACTCTATAAGAAGCTACAATATCTACAAGAGACCCCAAGAAGGTAAAGTTTCTTTGATCTTTTGAGTTTTGGGCTAATTTTTATGAAGTATATACGGTTTTTGATCTCCTACTTTATTTTTGGTTGAATGGAGCTGTTACATTTTTCCTTTAATTGATTGCCTACACTTTGTTTTGAGTTAAGGAAGGTATGAGGTTCAATCCCTCATTATGTGCTTTGTTTTTACAATTATGTTTTGAGTTAAGGAAACTATGAGGTTGAATCCTTGAGTTATGTGCATTGATTTAATGATTCTGATTAAAGGAACGATGAGGATTCAATCCTTAGTGATGTATATTGATTTTATGATTCTATTTTGAGATAACCATGAGGTTCAATCCTTAGATTCTACACATTGATTTTATGATTTTATTTTAAGGAAATTATAAGGTTCAATCTTTGGTTATATGCGTTGATTTTATGATTTTGTTTAAAGAAAATCATGAGGTTCAATCCTTAATGATGTGTATTAATTTTATGATTCTTTTTTGAGTTAACTATGACGTTCAATCCTTAAATTCTATGCATTAATTTTATTTTTGTGTTTTAAAGAAACTATGAGATGCAAATCCTTGATTGTGTCATTGATTCCATGATTTTGTTTTATTTTATGTTTATGTATATATGTAGTTTGTTGTTTCCTTCCATAGTTTTAAGGAAATGAAGCTCCGAGTTTGTAACTATAGGCAATTTTCTTTGTCCATTGCTCTTCAATAATACCAATATACAATAGAATTCTAATTCTATTACTACATTTTGCATTATTTTGTTTGCAGAGAGATGTTGATAGGTAGAAGATTAATAATTTTAAAAGATTTTTTTATTTAATTAGTCTTTTATATTTATTGTTATTTATGCCTCAATTTTAAACTTCATCTAATAATAATATTGATGGTTGTGAATTGATGGATACTATTTAGACTCACATAAAGCATGAAAATTCATTACTTAACTAATGTGGGGTTTATTTATTTTAATATAATATAGAATTTTCTCAAGGTGACCTATTTAAAATTTTATATTATTTGGTGGCATTATATATGCACCCATTTTGGTTATTCCACCTTAAATTAGGCCTCCACGTGAGTAAGCTTATTAAATGAAAAAATCTCACTTCAACAATATAATAAAAAAGGATATAAATTCTAGGTTAAATGCTAATTTTGGTCCCTCATCTTTATAATGTTGCACAATTTTCATCCCTTAATTATTTTTTTGCACATTTTTGATCATTTAACTCTAAAAACTGTACAATTTTAACCCCTCTATTAGATAGTGCCATTAACTTAGCCCATGTGGCATTTTTAAAATTTTTTCTGAAGACATGGATAATCCAACTAGAAAAAATGCTTAGTGGTGGTATTAAGATTTATATAGCAATATTAAAAAAAAAAAAAACACCCATTAACTTATATAATTAAAATTATTAATTATAATCAAACTTGTACCAAATCAACATAATCTTTTGATCGCACAAAATCAAAATGAAATCTAACAACAAAACCAAAACCAAGATTTAATAAAGTTCTCTCTCGGAAAGTTCTCTTTCGACGCCAATGATTAACCTTGCAACAAAACCAAATCAAAACCTTGAAAATTCATACTACTTCAATCTAGTTTAATGATCACAATCACAAGAGAAACAGCCAAACCAAAACACATAAACAAAATTTTGCAGCATTCATAATACTAAATTGCCATTCCACAACCACAATATTTGAAACAAAAATCCATCAAACAGAAAGGTTCAATATATGCATAGAAATTGCTAGAGTTACTAAAGAAAAAATCTATAAACATGGGTTTGAAAACCCAAAAATTCAGGTTCCTTGAACCCTTGTTGCTGGGTTCCACAGAACCTAGAACTGGGTTCAAACAAACCCAAATTGCTGGGTTCCATGGAACCCAGAACTAGGTTCAAATGAACCCAGATTGTTGGGTTCTGTAAAACCCATAATGGGGTTCAAACGAACCCAAATCGTTGGGTTCTATGATGTGAAAGGAATAAGGAGCGAAAGAGAGAGGCAAAGAAGAAGGGTGCTAGAAAAGGAACGAAGAAAGGCACTAGAGTTGGGAGGAAGATGAATATAAAAAGATAAAGGAGAAGTTAGGTTGAAGTATCAAGACAAAAAAGGAGGACGGGAAAGAGAGCATTGGAGAATGGAGAATGGAGAAAGGTAAGCCAGAAAAAGGGAGAAGATAAATTTGGGAAACAAAGAGGTGACCGAAGGTAGAAGATGAAGGGAGGGTTAAAATTGTCATTTTAAAACTATTTTAATTTAATAAATAATTAATTTAGGTAAGTGGGTCCCTTAATTTTCCAAATAGGATTAATAAGGACACATCATCTATCCACATCAATAAAATAAATAACAGAAATGCCACCTGGACTAGTTAACAGCCCTAATTGATGGAGGGACTAAAATTGTATAGTTTTTAGAGTTGAAGGATCAAAAGAGGGTAAAAAATAGTTGAGGGACGAAAATTGTGCAACATTATAAAGTTAAGGAACTAAAATTAGCATTTAACCTAAATTATAACCTGTATCTATTCACATTTGTTTTGAAAACGTTAGGCACTTAAGCGGTAATGGTAGTTCTAATTTTGTAGATCTGGAGAAACCCAAAATAACTAAATAAATATTAAATAAACGTCTTAAGTGATTGGGCTTAATAAAACGTCATACCCAAGTCCACACAAGGATTTCCGCGTTTGACATATGGAGTTATGGACAAGGAACTTAATAAACACAACTTCAAAAACGCGGTTATTAGAGATTAGAGGCCCAAAACTTTCAAGCGGTGGTCCCAAATCCTCTCAGAAGAGACCCAAAGAATCAGCCCGTGCAAGCAAAATGAAGTTACAGGCCCAAATCTAGCTCCGCCCCAGCGAGTTAGGGTTTAGGGTTTTCCCCTATAATAACAAGCGTCGCCTCACTTGTTTGCCCTACATCGGCTTCTGAGCTCTCTCCCTTACCCTTTCCCCTTCCCCATCCCTCCAAGGAGCCGTAGCCATGGTTCACGTCAGTTACTACCGCAACTGTAAGGCTCTTTCTTACTCCATCTCTGTTTGTCTCTGTGATTTTCGTTTGCTATATATGATTTGCAATATCCTATAATCTGATACCATCAATTTTGTTGGCTTGATCTCACTAGATCCAGGATAATGAAAATCCTTTTCCTCATACATGGTTGTGCTAATCATTTTTTAAGGGTTCAGTCGTGGATTTTTATTTTGGCTTTAAAAGGTGCAAAATTTCTTTCAGGCATATTGTTTTTGCTCTAGTTTAGGTTTAATTTTGTTCTCTGATGTTCCTAAACGCAAATGGTTGAACTTGCTAGATGCATGTGGTCTTTTGAAGTTTGAAATTTTGTGAAAACAAAGGGTAATTGTTTTCGGCATGCTGACTGTTTTATTATGTGATTGTGTGGTTTTAGATGGGAAGACCTTTAAGAAGCCACGCCGCCCGTATGAGAAGGAGCGTTTGGATGCTGAGTTGAAGCTTGTTGGAGAGTATGGACTCCGATGCAAGAGAGAGTTGTGGAGAGTTCAGTATGTTCTCAGCCGCATCCGGAATAATGCAAGGGAGCTTCTCACTTTGGATGAGAAGAACCCACGCCGTATGTTTGAAGGTGAAGCCCTTCTCCGCAGGATGAACAAGTATGGGCTTTTGGATGAGAGCCAAAACAAGCTTGATTATGTCTTGGCCCTGACTGTTGAGAATTTCCTGGAGCGCCGTTTGCAAACCCTTGTCTTCAAGTTGGGTTTGGCTAAGTCAATTCACCATGCTCGTGTGCTGATTAAGCAGAGGCATATCAGGTGCCATTTTTTTGCAGATAAACTGCT